CACCCAATAGCCCATTTGAATTTTTAACAACCCTGTGTGAGAGGTGTTGTCATGATACTTGTTAATTATAACCATAATCATAACAATAATAGCAAACGTTTAGTGAGCACTTACAATGCGTGAGATGCCACACCAAGTTCTCCATGTTTATTAGCTCATTTTATTCTCATAGCAGCTCTGCGAGGGAGGGTAGGTTAATCACAGATATTTTCCCCATCTCACAGACGTGGAAACTGAGGCCCAGGGAGGTAACATAACCTGCCCAGGATGCTAGTAAGTGGCAGAGCTGGGCCATGAACCTTGGGCTGCATGACTCGAAGCCCCTGCTCCTAACCACTTCATCATCCTGGTGTTCCATTTTTCAGATGACCTCTACTTGCCGATGATGAAGCTGAGACTCAGAAATGTTGCCCAAGATCACACAGCTAGTAAGTGGCAGAGCCGGGATTCCACTCCTGCTGTACCCAGCTGGCTGCCCCCAGCCCTTCACTCTAGCATGTTCTGGGGGCGGGGTGGGGAGCTGTCCTTGGTTTTGTGCTCGAGGCTGTATGGTAGATAGACCCCATGCATTAGCAGAGCACACTAAACCTGGACTGAGCTTTGAAACAGGGGTCTGTGCCCTCAAGGAATTAGCGCGGCCAGAAATGGCATGGCAGGCTCACTGCTGTCCTGGGGGGCGGCCCCTACCTGTGTACTCAGGAAAGCAGATGGTCAGTGGGGACTTCTTGATCTTCTCTTCGAATATGTCCTTCTTGTTAAGAAACAGGATGATGGACGTGTCTGTGAACCATTTGTTGTTGCAGATGCTGTCGAAAAGCTTCAAGGATTCGTGCATGCGATTCTGCAACAGAGCGGAGAGGTGCGTGAGGGGTGGCCGTGCCCGGGGCCCTGACCCACCGCGGCCAATGACACAGCGGGACAAGCAAAGGACAGGTCCACCAACGCGGCTGACGCACCACCAAGGGACGGAGACGGGAAGACCAAGGACATACAGGATGTGGTCCCTGCTTCATTCCACACGCAGGCAGGGTGGTGGTGGGGTGGGGCGGGGGGGATGGGGTGGGGATGCTGCCCTCTTCCCAGGAGAGGTGACCCTGGACGGGGGCAGTGAGGTCCTGGAGGGACTCCAGCCCCTGGAGAGGACATGCACCATGCACGTAGGGGCAGGGCCGCGACCACCGTCCAGCAAGACTACACGGAACCGCGGGGCATGCAGATGTCTCTACTGGGTCTCATTCAGTCTCGCCAGCGGGGTCGGGAGGGTGCACGCATTCAGTTAGGAAACATTAACCGAGGACGAGGAGGTCCTCGAATTAATCCAGAGTTGGAAGCAGACACCAGGGGGACAGCGTCTTGGGGGTGATCTTGCTGTGGCTTGGGTGTGGTTGAGCGATTTGGCTGGCTGGCTGGGCTGTGGCTGAGGGGAGGGAGGCTCTGGGCAAGCTGGTTGTTGGGCTGGTTTCTCAGTAGAGGGGCCAAAAGAACCCCAAAACGAAACACAGCAAAACAGATTAAAATAGAGAAGAAGGTAAAAATCCAGCAGAAAACAAGAGAGAGAGAAAAGAGAACTGAAAAGTGGGTTCCACCAGTCTCGGGGCCAGGAAGTCCACCCTGAGCCCCTGTGCAGGCCCCCGTGTGGGGCTCTGGCCTGTGTGGTTGCAGACAGGAGGCAGAGGGGGACGGACAAGTCTGAGCCGAGTGACGTGAGGAGTGCGGGTAGGGGAATGGCTGGGGCAGGCACCACAGCAAAGTCACCCAGCGGTACCCTGAGAACCTGCTGCTTTCAACTCGTAGTTGGTAGTTTCAGTCGGAGGGAGATGCTTCATACCTGCCGGGCTTGGAGGGTCTCTCAGAATCTGCTCATGGATTTGGCCTTGGTTTGGCCAGATAAGGCCCTGCCGGCGGTGCAGACGATAGTGGTGGTGGAGAAGTTGTGGCATGTTGAGGCCCAGGGCGCTGGGAGCCGCGGGCCTGAGGCCTGGCTGGGAGGTGCTAAGAGCAGGTACGAGGACAGGTGAGGCCCTCAGAATCCCAGGGTGCGACAGATGGACAGGGTGGCCGGCCGGGGGGCAGCAGCCACTAGCCCCAGGGCCCCGCTGGCCTAGCCTCAGAAGCTGCCTCCAAACACCCTCCTCTTGGGCAGCTCTACCCCTCACCCAGGCCTGGGAAGGAAGCGCAGAGCTGACCAACATGGGGGCTGAGGACCAAGGACAGTGTCACCAGTGCCTCGCTCTTGCCTCCCTGGGGCAGCAGAGAGTTCATATCCTAAAACTTGTCCTCTAGCCACTGGCGTCAGGTCGGAGTCAGCAACAACTGCCATTTACTGAGTGCAGGCGCCGTGACAGCCACTGGCCCGTGGATCCTCACAGCCGCCATGCAGTCAGCACACGCCCTCACCATGTACAGGGAGGACAGAGAGGCTCAGAGAGAGAGGGACCGCCCACAGGCACACAGCTGGGGGCGACGCTAGACCCTGGCCTAGGCCCACCCGACTCCAGAGCTGCCCGACACTGCCACGCGTCCCCACAGTTCTACAGCAGCCATGGTGATGAGCCCCTGTGGGCAGCTGTCAGGTGTGAGGGGCTGCCCTGTCCTGGGCTGCGCGGCCGGCCGGCCTGGGGAAGGAAGGACCCCAAGAAGAGCTGTTCCTGACCTTGGCCCTATGGCCTTTACTTGTGCTAGGTCCTCTGCTCGAACCCTTGTGGAGACGGTGAAGAAAAGGGGGAAGAATGGAGGTGAGGGAAAGGGTGAGAAAGGCACAGCAAAGGCAGGAAGACGATAGAAAGGAGGCGGCGACTGGAGGGAACAAGCTCAGGGCACGCCACCTGCCCAGCAGGCGGGGTGGAGTGAGCATTTCATGAAGGGCAGTACACAGGGCGGCCCACGGCCTGGACGGGAAGGCAGGCCACGAGGGCTGCAAGCGTGACGCCTGGCACCATACCCAGCCCCATGCTCACAGGTGGCCCTAGGCTCATGGGGCTTGGTGCCCTGTGGCTGCCGGACCCACCAGGCATCCTTTTGCTTCTATACACAGACAGGAGAGATGCCTGTGTTCCAACGGTGAGTAGGAGCCCAGCCCCGTGGCCGGCAGGCCCAGGCTTTGGTCTAAGCCATCTGCACACCTGGCAGGAGCAGGCCCCATGGGAGAGGCTGCTCCTGTGGGAAAGGCCTGCTCACCTCCAGCTCCCTTGCTTTCTTTGAGCCTACGGCTCGGATGCAGCATTGTGCTCTCAGGCACTGTAGGGACTAGAGATGAGCCATGCAGAGCTCAGACCATGGGGGTGGCCAGGCCGACCATGAACGGTGGCGCTAGAAACATCACTGAACAGTGAGAGGTGCTGGGGGCAATCCTTGTATACAGACCATGTGGAGGCAGCCAGGAGGGCATCCTCCTGGGCTTTGGGGCAGTCAGCGAGCACGGTGTAAGCACGGCACAGGGTGTGCCACCCCCTGCCCACCCGGTCAGGACCAGGCGGGTGAGACTTTGACACAGAGTCTGAAGACAGCGTCACCAGAAAGAGCTGCATGGCCGAGGCCACAGGAGCCTCCTCCCGGAGCAAGGCAGGGCTTTAAGGGCTTTGAGGAAGCCCAGCTCAGGGGTGCAGCGGGGCCTAAAAGAGGAAGCTCATGGTGAGAGCAATGTGGTCAAGCCAGCCTGGAGTGCAAGTCCGGACCACTGGTCTGTCCAAAGGCTCGGCCCCAGTCGGCCAAAAGCCCCATAACTCTACGTAAGTGTCTTGGCGCCAAGATAACTCCTCCCAACAGCACTTCCACCCCTCCCCAAGCGTTGCCACACCCCACTACTCATCGGATCTTCACAACAGCCCCGTGGGGCCAGCGGGTCCGGGGAGGATGAAGAAACTGAGGTCCAGAGAGGACAGGCCTCACTCAAGACGCACCGTGACGCACGCCCGGTTCACACCCTCCCTGTGGACGACGTGAGGCTGGGGCAAAGGCTCATGCACGTCTCAGACAGAGGGGGATGAGAACACCAAGGGCGGCATCCCGCTGCCCATGAGCCCCACTCCCAGGAAGCACTGTGGGCACACCCCTCTGAGGCCCAGCTTCTCTGCAGATCCTTCCCTGCAGCCAGGAGTGGGCTGGTCAGTGGGCCCACCCAGCCCAGGCAATTGACAATAATACAGCCATCAACTCAGTGCTTCTGTGCCAGAAATGGTCCCAAGTACTTTACATGGATTTTCTCATTCAATCAGCCAGCAGCCCCACAAGGTAAGTACCATTATTATCCCCATTTTACAGATCACAATAACCGAGGCAGAGAGGGTCCTGCCTGAATTCAGCAGCGAATCAGTGAGTAGCAGAGGTAGGACTGGGCCCAGAGAAAGGCAGCACCTCTCTCCAGGTGAGTGCCTTCTCTCTGAAGCTGGGCCTGGCAGTTCTCCGAAGCCAAAGTCAGAGGCCCCACCCAGACTGAAGCCGACACACAGATGGAAGGTGGGAAGCTGGTCTGGAATCATAGCTTATGTCTTGCCACCCTCCCGCCTGCCAGCCCCACACCCTTCTCTGAGCAGCATCCCCAGCCAGGGCTCCTGGGAGGGCTGTCGAGGCTAAGAAGGGCCATTTCTGTGTTATCTGCATTCTTGCTTGGCTACACCCTGATTTCTTCTAGGATTTGCTGAATTCTGCCCTGGCCTGATGGTCTCCATGACCCTGCAGAGTTTGTGGAAGAGGCACTTACGGCTCAAAACCCAAATTCGGCAACGTGTTTGTGATTAGTTTGCACACAGGTGCTGAGCCTGCATGGCTCCACACTGCCTTCTCTGGGCCCAGCAATAAAGTCAGGACAAAGAATGAGCAGCACTGCCTGCCAAATGACAGGATCCCAACCACGCTGCTGGTCCTTGCCCCAGGGCCGCCGTGGGCGACTGTGGCCCCAGTGCAGGGGGCGGCCTGTCCGCAGCAGTACTCTCAGTGCCCCGAAGGCTGGGTGGGCCAGCCCCTCGCACTGCCCCCAGCCCAGTGGGACCAGGGCCACTCACCGTGGTTTCGTCTTCATGGAGCACCTGATCATAGCCGCTGAGAGCGACGCAGAAGATGATGGCCGTGACGTCCTCAAAGCAGTGGATCCATTTCTTTCGTTCAGATCGTTGGCCCCCAACGTCGAACAGCCTGCCAGGAGACAAGGGAGCTGGGAATGGCAGGCGGCGGGCCAAGGTGGGGAGGGGATGGCTGGTCAAGCCTCAAGTGTGCTCTGAGGGGCATGAGGGGGAGGGGCTGTCACGTGCTCTGGGCCCAGTGCTCCTGCCTTGTGTGGGGCCTTCGTCCCAGGACACACTGACTGTCAGACCTCTGACATCCTGGGGTGGCCATCATGCCAGGTGGGAGTCTGTTCCATGGCCGGGCTGTGTTTACATGCGGTGACTCAAAGGCCTGCCCTTGCATCTGAAGAATTTGACTAAAGGGCACACCTCAGCTAGCTCCCCAGGAAATGCCTCTGAGAGGCCCTCCTCTCTTGGTAACGTCCACACCCTGTTCCTGACTCTCTGAGTGTATTTGTTCACTTCACCTCTGCCTGGGGAGGGAGGCAGGCAGGGATTACGTGTCACCCACTATGCAGAGGGGAAAAGTAAGGCACGGAGGTGTCAGGGATGTGCCCGGGGTCATGGTGAGAGTCTAGCAGTGGTCGAACCTGGTTCTCACCCAGTCTGTCTGCAGAAGAAGCCAGAGCCCTTACCTCTGACCCTCTCTGCCAAGTCGGCCACCCAGCCTCTGACCCTCTCAGACACCGTCCCCCAAGGGGCATGAGGAGTGGGAAGAGACTGGGTGGGGGGACTCACGGCCTGCAGGTAGGAGGTCAGTCTCAGACCCTAGCCTTCCCAGTGAAGAGCTCTGCAGCCTTTGGAACCAGAAGGCCTGTGGGCACACAGCTGCCAGAAGGGCTCTGGGCCCCTTAGGCTGGGCCCTGGCACTGACGTGGGTGGGTGGGAGGACAACTGCAGGCAGAGAGCACAGGGGCAGGGAGCATGGCAACGGGCTCTGGTCCTCGTTCAGTCACTGCTCCCTGTGGCTCCTGCCTCCCCATCTGAACTACAACGGGCTTGGCCGATGGGCTCCATGCCCCCTCTAGAAAGCTTACTCTTATTCTGGGCAGGGCTGAGTCGAGGCCCCTATGCTGCGCTCCCAAGGGGTGAGCAGGAGAGACTGAGGAGACTGGGAAGCCAAGGGAGGCACCTTGTGGGGCTGCCAGAGGCCCACACCTGAGCCCGGCCAGGCCACTCGGCCCACTGCTGTGCTCTCATGGAGGCCTGGGGGTTCCTGGGCCCCAAGTGGCTCCCACAGCCCTGCAGGAAGCTAGACACTAAGCCTCAGTCCCTTAGTCTGCACAGGAGAAGGCTGGGGCTGGGGAGGAGGAAGGCAAGGGGATGGCTGGGCAAGGGGCAAGAAAACAGGACCCTCCCCTCCCTCCTTTCTTCCTGCTCCATCCCATACCCAGAAACTGCACCTACAAGGCAGGTACAGGCAAAGCAGCGGTCCCCAGGCCTCAGTGCTTGTGGGTTACCCCAGACGGGGACACAGCCCCCTAGCAGGGCCTGAGACACCCAGCCTCACACCTCAGGCCCCTGGTCTGAGGTGGTCAGAGTCCTGGGTTCTAGCTGTGTTCTGCCCCTGAGGAAAGGCCTTGCTCCTCTCAGGCCTAAGCTTCCCTTGCTCCTCTCAGGCCTCAGCTTCCCCTGCTCCTCTCAGGCCTCAGCTTCCCCTGCTCCTCTCAGGCCTCAGCTTCCCCTGCTCCTCTCAGGATTCAGCTTCCCCTGCTCCTCTCAGGATTCAGCTTCCCCTGCTCCTCTCAGGATTCAGTTTCCCCTGCTCCACTCAAGCCTCAGCTTCCCCTGCTCCTCTCAGGCCTCAGCTTCCCCTGCTCCTCTCAGGCCTCAGCTTCCCCTGCTCCTCTCAGGGTTCAGCTTCTCCTGCTCCTCTCAGGCTGCAGCTTCCCCATACGAACCAGGTGAGGTGGTCAGCTAATCTAAGCCCCTTCCAGCTCCTTGTGGTCTCACAGATACTGTTTGGGCTTACCCACACCCCTCCCCACCCCTCCCCACAAAGCAGCCTTCCAGAGGCCACGTGGGTGAGCCACCCTCCTCTTCCTCAGAAGTCACCTCGGAGAGAGGCCTCCCCTCCTTGTCTACCCAAATCCTCCATGTTCCTCACAGCCCCGCTCCTGGACTCTCCCTGCTCACCGGCCCTGAACTTGACAGAAAACAAACATGCAGATGGTCCATTCTCATATCTTACTGCCGCCCCAGCCCGAAAGCTCCCTGAGGGCAGGGTGGTATTTGGGCGCTCCAGCAGGAGCTGAGGTGGAGAGAGTGCTTCTCCCATCTCTCAGCCGGCCCTCACCAGCCCAGATGTCTATCTCCAGGGCCTCACCTGAAGTGGAGGTTCTTGAATGTGAAGTGGGTTTCTACGATGCCGGTGGTTTTGACCCTGGTTCGGAGGATGTCCTGCTCAGTGGGCTGGTAGTCCGAAGCCCCGATCCGATCCAGGCTATCCAGATAGCTGGGGATGGCAACACACAGGGACCATGGACCAAGCACCTGGGGCATCGCTCGGCCTTGGTGGGCCTTGGGGTGCCGTTCACACAGTCTAGGATGCAAATGGCACCCCAGGGATTGTTCAACAGCTTTACCAGGTCTCCCTTTCCTTTCTATCACAACACGTCCACTTTTATCTGTTTTATATATTGGGTTTCTACCCAAGATTTTAAGGAGCCCTGGTGAAGCAATGGTTCAACGGCTGCTAAACAAAAGACAATGAATAAGGAAGACTGAAGAAGAACTGATGCCTTTGAATTATGGTGTTGGTGAAGAATATTGAATATACCATGGACTGCCAAAAGAACAAACAAATCTGACTTGGAAGAAGTACAGCCAGCATGCTCCTTGGAAGCGAGGATGGCAAGACTTCGTCTCATGTACTTTGGACATATTATCAGAAGGGGCCAGTCCCTGGAGAAGGACGTCATGCTTGGTAAAGTAGAAGGTCAGTGAAAAAGAGGAAGACCTCAACGAGATGGACTGACACAGAGACTGCAACAATGGGCTTAAGCATGACAATGGTCATGAGGATGGCACAGGACTGGGCAGTGTTTCGTTCTGTTGTACATAAGGTTGCTATGAGTTGGAACCGACTCAATGGCACCTAACAACAACAACAACCAAAAGAGTGGTGGTTTGAACCCACCCAGTGGTTCCTCTGGAGGAGAAAGACCTGGCGATCTGTTCCCATAAAGATTACAGCTTAGTAAACCCCTTGGAGCAGTTCTACCCCATCATAGGGGGTCACTATGAGTCGAAAACTACTCAACAGCACCCAACAACATCCACAGCGCAAGATTTTAAGGAGCCCTGGTGGTGAAATGGTTAAGCGATCGGCAGTTAATGGAATGATTGGCAGTTCAAACCCATCCAGCGGCTCCATGGGAGAAAGACCTGGCGATCTGCTTCCATGAAGATCACAGCCAAGAAAACCCTATGGGGTAGTTCTACGCTGTCATACGGGGTGGCTAGGAGTCGGAATTGGCTCAACAGCACCAAGCACCGCCACCGCCCCCCCCCCAAGATTTTTTCAGAAGGCAAGATTTAGCTGCTAAACAACAACAAAACCACCTGGGATCAGAAACTTCTGAAGGCCCTTCTGAATCTGACTGTGTGTTCCCTCTTCTTCCTGCCATGGAATCCTCTCTCAGAGACGAAACACAGAGGACCTAACCACAGGTGGCAGAGCAGAATGTCAGTGTTATAAGCCTTGACAGTGGAAAATGAGGAAGAAGGAAGGGAAGAGAGAGAAGGGGGGCTGATTTCCTTAAGACACTCGGTGAGGAGTTGACAAATACTGACTCAAGTTTTTTACCTAAAGTTACAAAGGAAACCACCGGGAAGAACTAAAAATAATCCCGTAACTAGCAAAAATCTGGAGGTGGAGGTGGGGAAGAGAGGTGGGAGGAAGGAATGTGAGCTGAACACCTCATGTTTCATAGCGGGGGTCAGTAAACACTATTTAAAGTCAGAGGGTCAGATTTTGCTGGAAACCTCTAGATAGAAACGGAAATCGTTACAAGTGGGAGTGGGACAGGGCTGGTGAGGGGGAGAAGTCAACTCTTCATTTTATACCCTTCTGTGTTGTATACAATTTTTTCCTAAAGTGGATTCATGTTACAATGAGTTAAATGGGTAAAAATTTAAGGGGGAGCATTATTTGGTGAACCACAGGAACAAGACCACTCAGGTAGTCTGGCAGGGCCCCTGAGGGTGCTGCTGGCAGGGGAAGGGTCCTGGACTTGGGCCCAGCAGAGGGCAGGGAGGGAGAAGGGGAAGGAGGACTCTCAGTTCAGTGCCCTCTGGCCTCCTGGGGCCCCTCTTCACTCTGAGGGCCCACCCATCCTGCTGCACTCGGGTGGTCCTGAAGGGTGCCAGCTGCCAAGGTGCTCTCTCCTGGCTGGGTTCTGGTGCAGGAAGAAGACCATAAGTGTGGGTCAGTAGTTTGAGTCTGCACAGGGAGCCATGGGCACCAGGCCTCTGGGTTCATACCCCTGCCCACCAAGGTGTCTCTGGTAGATGGGACCTGGGTAGCCACCATCTGGGGCTCACAGGACTTAAATGCTTCCCTGTGGACAGTCTAGGTGTGCGGTCCTGGGAAGACGCTCCTGGCCTTAATAAGCCCCTGGTTTGTTAGCTGTCATCATAAAAACCAAAAAACCAAATCCGTTGCTGTCGAGTTGATTCCGACTCATAGCAATGCTGTAGGACAGAGTAGAACTGCTCCATAGGGTTTCCCAGGAGTGGCTGGTGGATTTGAACTGCCAGCCTTTTTGTTAGCAGCCTGAGCTCTTCACCACTGTGCCACCAGGGCTCCAATTATAATCATAGGGTGGATCAAAGGTTCTCAGTTTCGGCACTATTGACATTTTGGGCTAGATAAATCTCTGTTGTGGGTGCTGTCTGTTCATTGTAGGATGTTTACCAGCATCCCTGGACTCCACCCACTAGGTGTCAAGAGCACCACCCTAATAGTGACAATTAAAATATCTCTGGACATGGCCAGACGTCCCCAGGTGGAGACGGCTGAATCAAAACAGTGTCCAAGCACATGCGCCCTACGATGGTGAGTTAAGACCCAGAGGCTTCTCACAGAAGCTCTACTGAAAACCTGGCACAAGACTTCAAAAGTGGAGTGCGCTGCAGGTCCCTGAAAGTCAAGGTGCTGTCCCAATGTCCCCACGATGAAGACATGTCCCTGACTAACATGGACCAACCCAGGGGGCTGGAAATTCCCATCCAGGGGTCAAGGGCATGTAACCAGCGAAGATGTCAAAGCTGTGGCAGGCTGTCCTGTGACCTGATGTCCTGCCACTGAAAGGCCCTGCAGGCCGTTCCTCCACCTTTCCCGTCTACCACTTTAACCCTCTGATTTTCACCATGCCTCTTCCCACTTCTTCATTCCCTCCTCTTTCTTTGTTCCTTCCTCCTTTCCTCCCCTCCTTCCTTCCTTTCTTCCTCTTATGTGATTATAACACAGAATTAAAGTATATGTTTTAGTATTTATTGAATGGAGTTATATATGCCTTATTTTAAAGATAGAGAAATGGAAAATTTATTTCCTCTAAAATAAAAGAAAATGGCACCATATTAAGTTACTTTTGGCTTATAGATTTGTATTTATAGATTCTCTATAGAGAAAAATGCTGCTAAACCAAAGGTCTTCCTTCTGGAGTGCCAGGCATGCTCCAGAACAAGGAGGTGACAAGGTCCTGGCCTTCTGGGAGTTTCCATGGCTTGGTTGTCTCTTGTGCCCTCTACCTTCCTTGGTCTCTTCCTTATCCTGGGGACAGGAAGAGAAGCACCTTCCTGTCCTTCCTGCCACCTGCCACCTATGGCAGGTACAACCTCAGCCAAGAATCCCTCTTCACCCTTCCAATCCCCCTCCCCCTCCTACCTAGGACACTCACTATTTGGCAGAATCGTTGAGCTGATACTCCCGAGACCTGTTGAAGCACTCCTGGATTCCTGAGTCGCCCCAGAGTCGCATCATGGCAGAAAGCAGTTCTGGAGAGAAAGGCTCAGTGTCTTCCATCCGACTCACCACGTCACACACCATCTTGGCATCGGCCTGCAAGGAGAGATGGGTGGTGGGCTTTGAAACCTCAGTGGGCACAGAAGACCCCTAGGCAGCCAATGGCTCTACCTCTGGCCGAGACTGTGGGCTGGGCTAGGGCTTATGACAAGGCCCAGCCCAACTCTGGCTGGGAGAAGGGGGCTGCGATCTGTTCATGCCCATGTGTCTCGGGACACATGTTTAATTTGCTCCCTAGGCCTGTGGGGTGCAAGAGTGCCCGTCTTTGGCACCTTCTATTATGCAGAATCCCTCCAGTAGTGGTTTCAAACCATGCCTCATGGAGCATAAAGGCTTTCTGTAGGCAGGAAGGGAGAGTGCAAGGATTCTGTTCTCCACCTTCCAACTCAACCGGAGCAGCTCTGCTTTCATCTATTTTGAAAACTGGGATTTTGTACAATATTTTGTTTGGGGGGAAGAAAAGATTTAAAAAATCAGTGTTCTTAGCTAAAGTTGCAAACTTTCTATACTTTATACTTCAGGTGGAGCAAAGCCCCCATAACTGAGCTATGGGGGAGCTTTGGTTATTCGAGAATTCCAGTTGGCTGAGGGACAGGGCCACAGTGGAGATGTAGCTCAGAGGTGAGAGAATGGAGAGGTTGGTTATCAAATTAATGTATATGGTGAAAATCCCTTGTGTCAATAGTAAATCTCTAGAATTTTAGGCCCTTGGATGGCCCAAGCTAAAACTTAATTTTGCTGATTTTTATTACAGATATCTTCCCTCTTCCCCTCATCTTGGATACCACACAGGGTCACCTGTTTTCAAAGACTACAACAAAATACACGTAGCATCAAAACCAGGAATGTAAACAGTCTTTGAAGACCTGGAAGGCTCTTTGAGAAGTCACAGGACCTCACCATCACCACCGCCTTACCCATACATGTAGCACTTCACGGTTTACAAGGGACTCTTATGTGCTCACATGCACTATTTCCCCAGAACCTCACAACCACGTTGTGAGGGGCTGGGGCAGATTGCATTAACCTCTCCCTGTATTCATACCCTTTGCCCTGTGTCTTTGAAATTTCTCCCACCAGAGGCAGAATATATTTCCTGGACTGTCCTTTGACTTTGAGTGTGGCCACGTGACAGCTGTGGCCCACAGAACGATGGCAGTGGGCTAGTTCCCCACCTTGCCCTTAGAGGTCTGTGTGTTTCCGCTGTCCTCTTAGGCCTTGGCCATCACTATGGATACACCCAGGCTCTCCCATTTGTCCCAGGGAGAGGATTAGGTACACATAGAGTAGGGCCAAACTGCCCTTACTGAGTCCACCCTGGATTTCTGGTCACCCAGCTGACCTAGGAAAAGAAACGATAGATGTTTTAAGTCACTGAATTTTGGGATGCTTGTTACACAGCACTGTTATGGTAATAGCTAACTGTAAGTGTTGTTGTTGGTGTGTGCCATTGAGTCAATTCCAACTCATAGCCACCCTAAAGGACAGAGTAGAACTGCTCCATAGGACTTTCTAGGCTGTAATCTTTACAGGAGCAGATTGCCAGGTCTTTCTCCCATGGAGCAGCTGGTGGGTTTGAACTGCTAACCTTTTACTTAGCAATCGAGTGCTTAACCATTGTGCCACTGGAGATCCTTAACTGTAAGTATTACTATTCTCGTTTTACAGGTGAGGAAACTGTAGGTCAGAGAGAGAAGGGCACTCACTAAGGTCACCGGTGCTAAGTGGCAGGGCTGGGACTCCAGATCAGGAGTCTTCTGATGCCATGGTGAGGCTCTATGGTCAGAGCCACCAGTACTGAGAGCAGACACTGACAACAGGACCTTTGATGGCAAACGCTACTTAGCAGCGGGCATTCAGACCAAGCGTCGCCTGGCATTAACCAAAAAGGTCTGTGCTCCATCTTAGATGATTGAGGCTTTTGATGTCTAAATTAGAGCAAGTGAGTATGGGGCAGGTGATTTGGCGAAGCTCCGTCTTCACCCCCTCGCCTCCCCGTCAAGGTTGTCTGCAGAGGCTTCCCACAGACCGATGCTTCCTGCCTCTCTGCCTAAAGAGCACTCTGCACGCTGGGTATGTGGCAGGCTGCAGGGTTTGGGGGTTAGTGTCTGTCTTAGTTATCTAGTGCTGCTATAACAGAAATACCACAAGTGGATGGCTTTAACAAAGAGAAATTTCTTTTCTCACAGTCGAGTAGGCTAGAAGTTCAAATTCAGGGCGTCAGCTCCAGGGGAAGGCTTTCTCTCTCTGGTGGCTCTGGAGGAAGGTCATTCTTGTCAATTTTCCCCTGGACTAGGAGCTTCTCTGCAGAGGAACTCCGAGTCCAAAGGATGCACTCTGCTCTCAGCACTGCTTTCTTGGTGGTATGAGGTCCCCAGCCCTCTGCTCACTTCCGTTTCCTTATATCTCTTGTAAGATAAAAAGTGGTGCAGGCCACACCCCAGGGAAACTCCTTTGACGTTGGATCAGGGATGTGACCTGAGCAAGGGTAGTGTTATAATCCCACCCTAATCCTCTTTAACTACAGGCAGAGATTATGACTTATAACACATAGGAAAATCACAAAATGGAGGACAACCACACAATACTGGGAATCATGATCTAACCAAGTTGACACATATTCTTGGGGGACACAATTCAACCCATGACAGTGTCCCAGGGCAGACAGGACTTGGTGGGCATATACCCAGCTTCCCTGCCTTCAGGGGAGACAATTCTGAGTTGTGTTCGACACAGTCTCTGAGAGGATCCCTGGGGGACTAAGCCTGGCTGCCCAGAGCTGCAGCCCACTCATCAGCGCACACTGTCCTGGTTTCCCTCCTTTTGCCGTGATGCTTCCCCACTGCTCAGTGCTCCCTGAAGCGACCTCCCAGTAAATGCCGTGTCTCACCCGAATCCTTGTCTCAGGGTCGGCTTCTAGAGGGCCACAAATCAGACAAAGAGGCACCATCTAAGCCCATGCACAGGCCCCTGGGTGGCACAAATAATTTGTGCTGGTATTAACCTAAAGGTTGGCGGTTCAAGCTCACCCAGTGGCACTGCAGAAAAAAGTCCTGGCTATCTGCTTCCGTAATGATTATAGTCAAGAAAACCCTATGGGGTACAGTTCTACTCTGTAACACGTGAGGTCGTCCTGAGTTAGAATCGACTTGAAGGCAGTGGGTTTGGTTTTGTTTGGAAACCCAGGCACTGGACAAACCCTGCTCCCTCCACACACATTTTGGCCTCAGTTTGGGCGCACACTTGTACTCTCCTAACCAGGAAGTAAGTGGCTGTACCCAAGTGGCCCCACTGTTCCTGCCAACATCCCAGCAGGCTGAAGAACACCTCTGTGTCCTGAATGCTGCCCAGCTGTGGCAGCATGCTACAGTGCCTGCCCCGGCAACACTGTGCCCAGGAAAGGAAGGTAGTTGGGGTGGGGGGTGGGGGTGGGGTGCAGGGCCAGGCCAGGGCTGGGAGTGGCTGGACCCCTGTATGTCCAGAGCCCACAGTCTGGCGGGGACCCTGGCCAGTTCCTAGCCAGGCAGGGGCCTGGGAAGGCAGGTCTGGGAAGCCAAGGCAAGGACGAGGGTCAGCTACTGATGAGACACCTGGCAGACACGTATCCCGACTGGGCCCACTGTAGTCTTTCCCTGAGGTTTCTCAAATGGGAGGAGCTTACGAGGGTGTGTTGCCAGAGTCAGTGGTATCACTGAACCTTCACCTCATGGAGAAGCCTCTAAGAATAAAGCTCCAGAAGGAAGCAGGAAAGGGTCAAGGTACTCAGGTCGCTGAGGCTGGGTCCCCTCACCCTCTCTGTGGTTAGTTTCTGCCATAGAAACTAACACAAAAGCCCTGACTCACACCAGCCCTGGAAGAGCCAGATCAAGGGTGCTGGGGTGGGTCTACCTGGGCTGGGAGGTGGTGCCCTGTGCTGCCTGGACCTCAGCCGCCTCTCCTCCCTGGTTTCCTGCATTATCCTGGAGCCGATGGTGACACTGAGTCCCTGCTGGGGGCTGGGAGTGGGGTGCGCCAGGCCCACCCGCTGCCTGACCTCACAGCCCTATGGAATGGGAGTATTTTATTCATGGGCACAATAAATAATACTCAACAACTACTCCACTAGAAAGCTCTCTCACCACCACCCACCCTCTCCTATGAAACAGGAGAGGTGGACTGCCCAGCCCGGTCACGTGGCTTAGATAAGTGGTGGGAGGTGCCGTGGGTGTCCTTAGCACCTGGAAGACTGTGGCCGACAAAACCTTCTGTACAAAAGGTGTGCACTTTTCCAGAATCGAGCTGTCCGGCTAAGTAGCTATTTTCACATCAGAGCCCGTCTACTGCAGGTTGATGGGAAGGCTCTGGCAGCCATGTCCCCTCCCTGCTGCTTGCCCTGGGAGGAAGCTACCAACTGGCCTGGAGCTGGAAGTCCAGGTCCTCAACGCCAGCCCAGATCCAGCTCCCTTGGGACAGCTTCCCAAACACCTGAGCCCTTGCACTCCTGGATCACCCCAACCTGAGTGGAGTGCAGCCCACCAGGTGCAGGGCTCGTCTTGGAGGTGAGTTTCTTCAGGTTTGAGAGTCCCCCGGGGGCAGCAGCCTGGAAAGCTGGCCCTGGGCGTGGGCTTTGGTTTCCTGGGGCAGGCAGTGACTCAGGGCGGCAGCCTCGGGTGAGCAGCGGTGGTAGCTCCACCTGGGGCTGAAAACAGTGCGGAGGCCTGAGTCAACGACCACCAGCTGATCCCGCTCGCCCTCTGCCTGGGTGGCCTCAGGAGGTCTCGATCCTGTCTCAGTCTCGGTGTGTTTCCCGTCTGTGGGATGAGGGGCGTGGACCTGGGCAGAGTTTTCCAAACTTCCTGCTGCGGGCACCTCCTTCATGGTTTCTGCCACATCTGTGGACCACCCGATTCAGAAGTGAGCCACGACCTGAGGTGCCTAGAGCCACAAGAAGCCTCACACGAAGGCACATGTGACACTCTCGAGAGCAGGTGATTTATGAACCGTGGGCACCACCGCACCACTTGGTATGCTTCTATTTGTTCCTCCGTGTGTCACCC